TTCTTCCAACCCCCCTTCATTAGGCCCCGCCCCCCTCCCCAGTGGTATGCTCCGCCCCCGCGAGTCTCTCTTGATACGTCACCCTCACAACTTGGAGTCGAATGTTATCAGGTGGAAACCCAAAAAGACGAAAAGAAATTTTTATTTTTATTTGCATTTTTTTTTTTTTTTAGGGGTTTGAAAAAATTTTGCTGTCAAGTCTTCAAGCTTCCCTAAGGGTTATTATAAGGAGTTTGTACTGGCACGGTAGCAACTTAGCATGATGATTATTATTATTATTTGCTTTTTTGAATAATGGATCGTTGTGTCAGCCCGGTCAACATCGTCCCTCTCCCTCCTGTCCAATTCTAAACGTGTTTTCAGGTAAAGAAATAAAGTGTCGTGCCGACAGAGGCGCTATTCGGCTCCCCCGGCTCCGGCCACCTTTTTGCGTTTAAAATTGTGTTGATGTTACAAAAAATATCTCTAATAGTTAGGTTTAGTGTATCTTTGTGCTGGTTAGACTAAAGCTTTTCAGGGTTTTTGTTTGTGTCTAAATGTAAAATGACGAACAGCAGATTCTCACAGTTTGTGTTTTTTTTTCTTCTTTTTTTTGTTTTCTGTTTTTTTTTTTGCGTCAACAAAAATAGCCTTTTGATCGACAGTAGGAGCCGTTGGGTGTGTTATGATATATAATATAGCATTTGCTCACAGGATAGTTAAGTCAAGAGAAAAACAGAGTCACATTATTTTTTCTTAAACATTAAAAAGTAGTATAGTATCACCAGCCAGCTTCCCTCCTTTCCTACACCCTCCCTCCTTCCTTTCCTTCTTCCCTCCCCTCGTCTGGCCCTGTCTGAAAGCTGCTTGGCAGCCCTGGGGATTGTACATTGCTCGTGGTGGTTTTCCTCACATCATCCTTTTGCAAATGATTTCTTCAAGCATTTAACATTGTCCAGCTTTTCTTTTTTTTTTAAATACACAAACACACACTTCTTATACAACACGCAAAAAAAAGACAAAAGAAATCAAATCAATCCCTTTCCTTCCCTCTCACCCTCCCTCCTCGATTTGGCATGATAATGTGTTCGAACATACACAGTTTCTGTACTTGACTGGGTTTTTGCATCTCCCCACACACTCACACTAACAGTAGATTCGACGAGACGGAAACAGAGCGAGATTAAGCCGGAGACCAAAACAGTAACATTAACATGAATGAGAGGCGTTTTACAGACGTTGCTTGTCCCTTCTCTAACAGCAGAGCGATGCGGCCTCCTGCTCCTGATCCGAGGTCAGTTTAAGTCCCATTATTGGTTAAGGTAAGGATACTGACGAGGGACAGAACTACTCCCGGTATCAGCGCTAGGAGAAATAGCATTGCCAAAAATCAGAATGAACGAAGTGTAAAATATATGCGGAAAGTAAATAAATAGACTGCTTGGAGTTCACTTGCCCCCGGACTTCCTGTCAGTTCTCGTTTTGCATTTCCTCTCCTGTAGTTAAGCTTAGGAGTCGGAGAGGAAGAGCTGATCCTGGGTCAGCCAGTGAAAAGGCAAGTATAACCCCGTGTCCCTGATAAAAACAACAAAGCCAGGATGAACCAGCCAATCAGAAGTCTCATTCCTGTTCCCAAGTTGCTACGGGCCAATAAGAACCCTCGATTCAGTCAAGCTCGAGACAAGAGCGTCTCCACGGCAACGGTTGCCGTAACAACATGGGGCGTGGTCAAGAACAGTTGCCAAATACTGATTTAGATACATAAACACAAAGCAAAGCTTGATTTACTTGATATTTTTCCATGTTTGAGGCTGATCGGGTACCGGGGAAGGCAGATCGAGTCTCGGCAAAGTACATTTAATTTTTTTTAAAAACCGTTTTCAGCTACATTCAGGCTCGGTTCAGGCGGCGTGGCGAGCCAGCCCGGCGAACAGTGAGAGGTAAACCTGGAGAGGACGACCAAGCCCCTCTCTTGCTCCCTCACTGGGGGCCAACAAAGCACCATCTTCTCTAGTCACACACACACTCACACAAACACACACACATATTACCCTGTCACAATACTCAGACGCATCTTCGCCCTCAGACAGACCTGATAATCAACAAATACACCCTCCGTCTCGGCTTTGCTCTCCGCTCGCTCAGCCTTTTCCTCTAATCCACCCAAGTGCAAAATCCAAGGCTCCTCAGTTCAATTTGTCAAATTAAGTTAACTCAAAGAATAACAAATATGGTTCAGATGTTCCACTTGACAGACAAACACAAATAAGATATATATGTATAGTTTAAGCAAAGAGACTCTGGAATAAGTAAACTAATCTTTTGTATGATTGAATTATTTGGTAGAGAGCAGTTCAATACTGGCACACACCACGGTCACATCTGGCTAATACTCGAGGTTCTGTCTCACTACGCAAGCTTTGAAGTTGTTAAAGATTCACGACTTAACTTAAAGAAACACAACTTAAGCCAACGTTTACTCGTACTTCTGAAATAAAAACCTATAGAGGGGACACGCGCACACGGGCTTTAACACAGAGCAATTACACGATGAAGAAATTAAGGTCCATGGCTTCGCTAATGCTGACTTCTTTCGCGCACTCTCTGAAGCTTTTTGATTTCCCCCGATAATTGTGCATCATAGTTACTAAACAATCAATGGTAGATAGGTAAGTCTATTATTCACACGTGTATTTAGTCGACAAACACAACTGGTGGATCTACATTCACGCCGCTCTCGCAACACGACCCTCCGATAGGACCAACATCCGCCGGTTCAGAGCCTTGTAACACACACACAGACACACACACATTCACACACACACAATTCAGGAACTTCAGATGAGTACCCCCCCCTCCCTCCCCAACCCCAAAGGAAGAAAAAAAAAAACAGTACAACAATACAATCATATTCTATTTGTAAACAGGTAGAAGCCACTTGACTTGTTGTTGCATCTTCGGACACAATTAGGATCAAGGCAATGAAATGTGGACGACTTTTGCACTGTTAAAATATTATCTTCAACCAAACAAAATGATTTTTTAAGCTTTTTCTTCTTTCCTTATTTCAAAAACACCATTTGTGGCAATGAGAGCGATTAAAAAAAACAAAAAAGCAAGTTATAGTTTGCATTTTTGTTGTACTTAATGAAACATTTAAAACATTTTGTGAGAAAAAAAAAACAAAAAAGCGCCTCTCAGTAGGCCGTGTGAGAGGCTACAGTATGCATAGATACAGATTCGCCTTTCTCTTGGTTTAGAAGTCTGACAAGACCGAGCATTTTCCACTGACAGTCACACACTCACACAATAAACACTCCCCACTTTTGATTTTTAACATCAGTGGAGGAGTGGAGGAAGAGGAGGAGAGAGGGAGCATTGGGATGTCTACAGCCCGTCCTCCACCCCCCACCACATCAGGACCCCCCGTCCTTCAAAAGACAGCATATTGAAAGCAGTGTGTTGAGCTTCTCCAGCTTAAAGCAGTTATTTGGCAGAGAAAATAAAACGTACAGACCTATACATAGTTTCAGTGCTAGAAGTTGGATTTTCCTTTCCTACAAGGAGTAGTAGTTTCTTTTCTTTTTTTTAATTCACCTACAAGGGGGGGAAAACTGGCTTGATTTCCTGAGAACCATTGCTGGTTATTTAGCAGACAAAGAGGAATAGTTCAAATAACCAACGCCATGGCCAAAAACACTGATCCGAATTCCCAGAGTTACAAAGCATCGTCTTCATCCTCAATAAGAGTTTTTACTTTTTTTTGTAGCTTTTTTTTTTTCTTATTTTTTTTCTCACTATTTTCTATTTTTCCATCTTCTCTTTAAAATGAAGAATGAACACACGTTCCGCCTCCTAAGTCTTGTAAACAAGAGGTTTCAGTGTGGCACCTCCAAAACATTGAAAGCCTATTCTGAAAGTGCTGTTTCCCCCCTGCCCACTAGGGGGCTAGTGGGAGGGCTTGCTAGATAGGCCCCGCCCCCTTACACTGGATGGGCGGGGCTTGCTAGTCCCAGCTGCGGCTACAGTCCTTTGCACTGCAGAGCTCAACGTTCTTTAGTTTTAAAACAAAATTGGTGCAATACTTTTTAATGTCACTTTTACTATCACCAGATAATCCTCCTAAGTCCGCGTTTATTCTTCTTTAACTATCTGTTGATCTTGAACTCCACGACAACGCAGTAAGGTAGGCGTGCCAAGGCAGAGAGGAGCGCACACATACTCATTCGCACACACACACAAAGTACTTCCGCGCACATATGTGCACGTGCACGCGCATACGGTAAGGACCTCAATGAGTAAACAGCTACACTGGAAAAACGGGCTGCTCCCTCTATATTGCAGATTATATATACTGAGAAAAAACCACATTCAGTGCAAAGTTAAAAAGCTCATACTCCAACATTGTCAGCAAACAAAAAAAAGAAAACGTTAAAAATGAAAATAATTGGAATTCAAATAAACATGACGAATGAAACAAAAAATATATATATATAATAATGAGCTCGATTGAAGCTTTTTTCGGTCTGAAAGAGCACTACCTGGAAGCAAATATCCATCCGTTCACATTATAGAATTGGCCTGCATGATTCAAGTATTCCGACTGATATGTTTTTGGGCTAAAACAAAGTGGACATATGTGCAGAGAGAGAAACGTAACTTGTTTTCCACAGGGGAGACCCCGCTTTGTTGTATTTCTTGTAAGTGAAAAAGAGTCCGACTAGTGCCATAGCTTTTTTTTTTTAACTACTTTTTTTTCTTTTTTTCTGCTGATTATTGATTATTCTCTACTGACCCTTCCCATAGCCTGTTTTGATTGGCAGGCGGTTCACATGGAGTCCCCTCCCCCTGACAGGTGATCCACTGGGAGGAAGGAGCTGATTGGAGAAGGGCTGCTGATCCTCCCCCCCTCGGTGCCGCTGGGATTTCCCCACAGGCTACTGGAATAGTTGGGCCCGCCCCAGAGGGAGGAGCTGTGGAGGTCGCTGCTGTTCCACTGGGTGGGCTCAGGAGCGCGGCTGGGGAACGGGTGAGACTGATCCATTCTGCTCTGAGAGGAGCCGATGGCCTGCCAGCTGGAGGAGGGAGTGGCCAGTGACTGCCCTTGTGCAAAGAAACGGTTGATTTCCTCCTCGCTGGCAAACTCGGCCAGAATGGTAGTGTTCCCCAAAACACACCTGCAGAGAGAGAGAGGGTCAGTGAGAGGGTCAGTGAGAGGGTCAGTGAGAGGGTCAGTGAGAGGGTCAGTGAGAGGGTCAGTGAGTGTGTCTGCTGATCCAAAACATCCTGTGGCTGGATTCCACATTCAAACTATTTCCCTGACTAAATCAGTGCGTTAATGCATTTTTTTTTTAAACACTGGAGAGCGTAGAAAATGTGGTCATAGAAGTTTTTGTTTAGTGTGTCACGTTCACACAAGATCGCAGGCTTGAAAACTAAGACGTCTACTGTCAATGCGTATCCATACTTCTTTTTATCAGTTATTTATTCAGTCTCTCAATCAACTGTTAGTGATTGACTTTGAAGAGATTTAAAAAAAAAAAAAAAAGTGTTTGTTGTTTTTTAAATTGTAATTATTGTTCAAATCCTGATAATCAGCTGATAACCTCAAACAGAAATCTAGGTTTGTTTTCTCTCCTTTCCTGTTTAGGTTGACTTGGTTCTCACTAGTCCTGGGTCTAATACAGGATGTCTACTCAGCGTCCTTACATGTGCAGGCTCTTCTGGGCCTTAGCGGCCTCATCCTTGGAGCTGTAGCAGACCACAGCGTTACCGTGTGGCAGGTTGAGGTGGAATGTGATCAGAGGGCCGTGCTGCATGCACAAAGTCCTCAGGGTAGAGCCGTCAATCTGAACGAAGCACAAACAAACAGAAGGGGACAGATGTTCATGAACTGCTGACAAATATAACGCAAACATTTCCTCTATTAGGTCGGTTTGTTGAATGATCGGAGCACAGCCATTTTGGGCGCCTTTCATTTGTTTTTCTTTTAGACAATGTACCATGGCTCACAGTTGCCAATCATTTACGAGTCGCCCTAGTTCTATCATCAGTGAAAAATACTAACAGAACTGTGCCACACATTTTTGCCCGTGTACGTACAAACTATGAGGCAGAATTTAATTAAAAAGTAACACAGGTTAGCTGATACATTTATGTACTTGTGTGTACCTGAGGTGTGAGATTTTTCAGAACGAGCCATTGGGATCTCCCTGAGCTGCTGCTGCTGCTGCTATCGCCCCAACTGGAACCTGCAGATAGGAGAGGAAAGGGACGGGTTAAAGGTGTAGACGTAAAACATGGAGGAAATGACCATGTGCCATACTAAGAGGAGCGGTACACCCTGCATCACCTACCAGATGTAAAGTGTTCTTATGTATGTTAGAGAGGTATTGAACAGAAGAGTTTGGCTTACGCACAACAACACAGACTTTAACACCCCTTGTTGTTAAATACCAACCAACTATGTGCAATATGTGCAATAATTATAAAACGGACAAGTCAAATCAAGCAATCTGATTGGTTCTTAGCCGTGATATACTGAGCGTATACCACGGGTAGAATTGTAAGTTACTTTTCACAACAAGTCAGTATCCCTCCGCGTCTGAGAAAAACAGTATACCGTTGGGTTGAAAAGCAAACTGCTTGCTTAAATATATGCCGTTAACCGGTTCAACCCGGAGGCCTGAAGGTGAATCCAATGTGTCTGAAATGATACTAATAATCCATGTTCATGGATGAACTGTGCAATATATACCTGGCTGCTAAATCCTCAGAACTGTTCAGTGTATTTTGTAACTTTTTTTGGATCTCTAATTCTTTTGTATGCATTAAGACATTAAGCTGTCTTTGGGTCTTTTCTGCTGTAACACTGTAAATGTCCCCTCTGTGGGACTAATAAAGATATTCTGATTCTTATTCAAAAAAGCAATGCAAAATCGTTTTTTTTTTTAAATGTTCTGCCATTGATGGTTTCTACCTGATTAAATGTACTTAGTTATTGACCCCTGTTAGTGTGCATGAGCTCTCACCAGGTGTGTATCTGGACTCTGTGGAGCCCCACCCCCCCAGCCTCAGGGAAGAGCTGTCCCAGCCGGAGGAGGCGGAGCTGGGCTTCTGGCTGGTGAGGCCAGGTGGAGGTCTGGAAGGAGCCGCCACAGCCAGCGCCTTGGGAGGCAGGGGGACCTTCCACAGCTCGTGGGCCAGGGAGGAGTTGGACACAGAACCGCCGCCGGGAGACCACTTCGACTCACTGGGTCTGGCTGCAGGGAGAGAGGGCCAAAGGGGATCAGTTTCACTAAACATCTTTCTTTTTAAAGGTCCCCTGTTATCAGGGGTGCACATAACTTGTACGCAGGTACGCGGCAAAAATCTGAATTGCGTAACGTCACTTGTGTCACTTCGCGCCTTTGCGTACCTCAAAACAAAAACACATATTTCGTCTACACGTGTTTCTTGTCAACAGTCAATGGAGTAACTAGACATGTAAAAAGAAACAAAGACATTAAGCAGCTACGTTGCCGTTTCGCTCTCTGCAAAAAATCTTCGGACTTCCTGTGACTGACTGAACTGGGTGCTGGCCGAGTCGAACAGGACATAACCGACGGACCTGTGAAGCTTTACAGGAGGCAGAGGCTTAGATCACCCGACAACAGAGTTGGTCGCCGTGTGCACAGACACTGTTGTCGGGTGATCTAAGCCTCTGCCTCCTGTAAAGCTTCACAGGTCCGTCGGTTATGTCCTGTTCGACTCGGCNTTAATGATCAATCATTACAAAAAATATCATATATATTATTCTGAAATGGACCAATCTGCACAATGACTACTTTTACTTTTGGTACTTTAACTATATTTTGATGATCATACTTTTCTAATTTTACTTGAGTAACATTTTGAATGCAGGACTTTTCTTGTAACAGAGTAACACTCTGGTACTTCTACTTTTACTCAAGTACAATATCTGAGTACTTCTTCCACCTCTGTCTGATTTCAAACTCTTCCATAACACCCTGAGTGAGTCTGCAGCTGTGTTTTACTCCACTTTGGTGTAAATAAAACTGCAGCAGCTGGACCACAGAGCGTGAACTTTGTGATCAGCTGATTTTGCGCAGTTCTCCAGTGTGTGCGCGGGGCACAGAGGGTGCGCGGGGCACAGAGGGTGCACAGGGGAGTCTCCCACTGCAGCCAGTTGGCGGAGTTTTGGCACAATTCTGTTGTTCATACCGACGTTAACCCGGTCTGTGCACACGGCGACCAACTNTTTTGTAATGATTGATCATTAAAGTGTTCTCAAAGCTGGTAAAGGTGCAGCTAGTTTTACAAATTAGATCAAAGTCAAGTAAAGTACAAATATCTCAAAATTGTACTTAAGTAGAGTACTTGAATAAGTGTACTTCGTAACTTCCCACATCTGAAATCAGATATGACTTCAAGTCATGTGATCATTTCTTAGTATTTGACCTTTCAACTTGGCCTCAGGAAATGCAAGGACTTCACAGTTTTGGCAACAAGTTTTGGAGAAAGCAAATCGAAGGCTTAAAAAGAGACAGGCAGGTGCATCTTCATCATCTAGCATGCAAGAAGTGTAATTAGAGGACGCTGAGGAGGACCACGCTTCGTGTGGGGTGAGTACCAAACGCTGTCTCCTGGTACTCATCTGAGTAACTCACTAAAAGAGTTATGTGCACCCCTGTCTATTAAACTGTTTTTCATCAATATATTATAGGTCTCAGATATATACAGAACATGTCTCTGAAGTGTTTGGCTCCAAACACCTAACAGATCATTGCAGCATTACCCATAATCCCCTCTGTTTCAGCCCTGTTTCCAAAGTGCTCATTCTCTGTCTGTTACTTTAGATGAAAATAAGGAGCCCCTCCCCACGCCCCTCTGAGAGAGATTTGGTTACAAAGAACACAATGG